TTATATGAGGCATTGAAAAAAAACTATTTTTTTTACCTGAATTCAATGGTGGCAAAATTTTTTATTAAGCTATATAATGTAATTTATAAATATAAGGGTATTTATAAATTTACACATTTTATTGTAAACTGTGTAAAATTAGACTAGACAATAGATTAGAAGTAACATAATCAAGACACAAATTAAAGAAAATCGTTAGTGCTATAAATTTTATCATCTTTTCTTTTCACTAACATCCATTGTAAAATATTTGTGGAAGCTATAAATATAGGTCCTGATATAATTTCACCTTATTTTGTACATAGATGTCATTTTGTTCTGTCTCCTGTATTAGGTACTAAAAATTTTTCGTTTTTCATTAAATACTGGCACTTTCCCAGAAGAGTGGAAAAAAGTTATGTTGCTGCTATTTTTAAGAATGGTAGTAAAACATGTATAGAAAATTACAGACCCATTTCCAAAATTTCTGTTTGCAAAAATTTTTTAGTCAATTGCTTCAAAAATATTTTTCTCATTAAAAGTTTAATTATTCCTGAACAACATGGCTTTATGCCAGGAAGGTCTGCAAGTACAAATCTATTGATCCTAGAAGAATTCATTTTGGAGGCCTTTTGGAAGGGGGCTCAGGTCAATGTGATATACCAACTTCTCAAATGCATTTGATTGGGTTAACATCAAGATTCTTGTAAAAAAAAAACTAGAAGCACTAAGAATTCATGGATCACTGCTTGAGTGGTTGGGAAGCTACCTGACAGACATGCTTCAGGTTGTCAAAGGCAAGAACTGTCTTTCTGAATAGATTTTGGTTAGGTCTAGGGTCCCACATGGTGGTCATTTATCGACTATTCTTTTTATTTGTTTCATAAATGACATTTTAGAAATCTTTGAAAATTGTGTTATTTTGTTGTATGCTGATGATTTGAAAATTTTTAGCATTATTAAGGATGTTAAGGACTGTGTAAAAATGCAAAAAGATGTAAACAATTTGTCACAATGGTGTACAAAGAATGACCTTTCACTTAATATCGATAAATATAAAATAATGAGCTTTTTTAGAAACTCACAACCAATCTGTTTTAATTACTCTATAAATAATATATTTCTGGAACCAACAAACACTTTTAAGAGCGTAGGCGCAAAATTACGGGCCAATGCTTTTTAAATGCATTCATTTTTTTTTCAAATCCTGAGAAAACTAACAAATATTTTTGAAAAATTTAAACGCAGAATGAAAGATTACATTATTACCGTGGGCCGAAAGTCCCTTAGAATAAACAAAAAATTTTTTGAATGAAATATTTGAAATTAAAAATCACACTAAATTTTCACTTTTTTTTTCATCCCTGTAACTTATTAAAATAATCATTATAGAAGTTTTCAGGGACTTTAGGCCTTCGGTAATAATGTATTCTTTCATTCTATATTTAAATTCTTCAAAAATATTTATTAGTTTTCTCAGGATTCGAAAAAAATTAATGCATTTAAAAAGCATTGGCCCGAAATTTTGCGCCTACCCTCTTAACGATTCAGGTGTATTTTTTGATCCCACTTTATGTTTCAAAAATCACTATAATTTTATTTGTAATAAAGCTTTTAAATTACTTGAATTTTTGAAAAGAACCTTGTCAGAATTCAATAACCTAGATTGTTTTAAAAGTGTGTATTGTTCTATGGTTAGGTCAGTTCTGGAATATTCCAGCACTATTTGGACTCCTTTATATAAATGTCATATTGAAAGCATTGAGAAAGTTCAGGAAAAATTTCTGAGCTTTGTAGGCTATAAGGGATTTCTTCAGAACATTTAGTGTATTGTGACATTCTAAAATTACTTAATATACCAACATTAGAAAATCGTCGTTTAATGCTAGATTTGGTTTTTCTTTTCAATAATGTAAATGGAATGATACATTCGCCTCAAATTTTGCAGAGATAGGTCTTAGAGTTCCTCAAAGGTGCACGAGATCTAAGGATGTTTTTCACTTTTCACATACTATTGTCTAAATGCACCTATAAGTCAATCTGGAAATGGCTTAGATGTAGAACATATTTTCTAGCTCTCTGAATAGTTTTCAAAAAAGGTGAAAAAATCTTTTTAAAATACAATGTATGCTGTCATTTAGGTATTTATTCTATTTATTTGTCTCATGTAAATTGGATGTAATTGTTATTGAGTTCTAAAACTGGTAATATGATATGAATTATTTAATGATTGTAATTATTGTAATTGGAATAACTGTAAATAAACTATCTATCTATAACATTATTTTGATATCTCAAATAATCCCATACTTTTAAGAAACCAAATGTAAGACAACTCACTAAATTTTCTAGGAAAATTCTTATCAATAAACAGAAATTATATATAACTATGAGATAAATAATTTTGAGGAAAAGATTAGGGTACATTTTATTTCTCTGAGAGACATTAAAGCCTATTTTGTTTGAAAAAAATGATTCTTTTAATCTATATATAAATAAAAAAGGCTCATGTATACCCAAGTACAAACCACATAAATACAAAGGCTTATAACTAAGTGTACACCTACATTGGAACCATATTTCTCCCGATCCAATATCGGGCAACATTGGCGGACGTCAGATTGAAAACAAACTCAAGGTATTAAATCATAGTGCCTATACTGCTTCCATGACAAATAAATGAATGAAGCACCAAATTGAGACTATACAGAAAACATAGATGACACAGAGAGCCACAGGATATATATCTCTCTCTGGTGAACTGAATGTAAGAAAACTCTGGGATCACTAAATTGAAAAAAATCCACACAATAAAGTATAATATGAAGCATATAAGAAATACTTTAATGAAAATTTCAAAATTTCTTTTGGCTATACAAGAATGGATATTTGCTCCTCTTGTGATCAATTTTTGGCAGAAATTTAATGTATAAATTCTCAACTAAGAACATGTAGGTACAGATGAAACTGTGAAAGAAGAATTGAATCAAAAGATTAAAACATTGGAAGTAGAAAATAAACTACATAAATTAAAAGCAGAGAAATGTTATGCAATAAAAAAGAGTGCTAGATTGTGTGCTTGCAAAGATAATACTACTGTACTGTACTACTGTAACTAGTATAACTATGGATTTTCAAAAAAATTTCCATATTCCAAACATCACAACAAATGATGTTTATTATAAACCACAACTTAACTACTATTTATTCAATATTCATCAACTGTCTGATGCCGATTCATTTTTTTATGTCTATGATGAAACAGTGGGTAAAGAAGGTGCCAATGCTGTGGTTTCACATTTATTTGACTTTATATACAATGAATTGAATTCTCAAGTACAAAAGTTGACCATATTCTGTGACTCAAGTAGGGATCAGAATAAAAATTATACAGTTTTTGGATTTCTTCACTATATGGTCCATGCCTGCCAGCGCTTCTGTGGCCACTCTTATTTAGAGTGAGACCACAATTTGGTTTTCATTAATCAAAAAGCAAGGATTGAGTTACGTAGTGAGTGGGCAGAGCACATTAGAGAGTCTAGAAAGAAACCTAAACCATTCAATGTCAAGGAATGTACTACAAATCATTTTAAATCTTGGACTGCATTTCTGACTCCTATTTACAAAAAAAAGTGTCCCTTTGCAAGCAGACCTTTACGACAGTTGAAAATTGATGTTAATCATGGATGGTTAATATTTTACAAAGAAAATTACAGTTGCTCATGGTTGTCAAGCACAATTAACAGTCCTAAACAACTGCGGTTGACAAGAAAAAAACAATAATGAATTTTCACTACCACAGTAGGCTTACACAGGCAAACTGCCTATTCCTGAGCTGAAGTTCAAAGATATTCACGCTTTGAAAATATTTTGTTCTCAATCAGCTAGGGACTATTATAGTTTACCTCATGCTAACAATGTCAGAGATGATGATAACTAATGGTACTGATAATGTTTACAGATCAATGAAAAGCCTGGACTTTCATTGATTTTACGTATGACACACCACCTTTGTTAGTGTTTTTTTATTTTTTCAATAAAATACTTTTAACACAAAATGTTAACTTTTCATTTTTATCATTTAATAATACCTGCAAGTGAAACTGATAAATAAATTAAGATTTATCTTAACCAATTTTATAGAGTCTTATAAAGTCCCTAAATTTACAATTTGTTTTCTCATAATAATATCAGGACTTTCACAGTTTAAGCCATGTGCCCTTCATATAGAAAAAGTAAAAAAATAATAACCAAATGTATAAAATTTTAATACTTCATTATTCTTTTCAGATAAATGATAAAAACTGAACAAAAGCCAAATCTAAATCTTTAGTTTTGTTCATTTGTTAATATTATTTTTTACCACTAGTTTAACTCCACACTCTATACATTTGAAAACAAAGGAAAAGGACTTTCTTTTCACTAAGTACAATTATTTCCAAGTGATTAAACACAAAAATTAAACACATCCAAATTATAATTGTAGTAGAACAGGTAGAACAAGTGACTCATCTAACTAGTAATAATTTAGTATAGTACATTTTAACTTTTCTTTCTCATAATAAAAAAATATTTAAAAATATATCGTAACAAAAACTGCACACTTTTTGTCTGCATTATTAAACAATTTCTATTTCTTATTGGTTTTACTAGTGAAACACATAAGGACCACTTGATTCTAAGCAAGTAATTGTGAGTTTTAAAAATCACTTCCTTTCATGAAAGAAAAGAAAGGCCAGACAGTTGTTGACTTCAACAGTACACCTATTAATAGGTTTATTGTTGATTGATAAACTCGAGAAGATGTGAACAGTACTTTATAAAAACCTGAATACAATTTGATGACAATACGCCCCCACTAAAAAGCAAAATATCACCGGTATATTCGCCTATGTTTTTATGACTTAACAATAAATGAAAATATCTTATAAATAAAAGATACATTAAGTCAATATAGAAATCCATGCCACTAGTATGGCAAAAATGGAGATCAAAGTAGGTAAGGGGCGTTTTGTTTTTACCTGCAAATGTTCTTGGAACTTGATAGGTAACAGTTGCTGCGTCATGTTGCTTTTTCTTTGCAACAAAACACAAAATAAAATTTAAACACTTTCCACTTTACTTATTGAAACGTTTTCGGAAATTTAAGGAAAATGACAATTTTTTCACTAAACTGACAGCTAGCTGAATCAAACATCTAAGATGGCGTCGCCCTTTTGTACAGGCCGGTGACGTGTGACGTCAACAATTCGCCACATCACCCATGGAACCTTACAGGTGACATGGAACAAGATCCACTGTCATACTAGCTTGAACGTATCGAGTGCATTCTATTGAAAAATTATTACACTATGATAGTGAAACCTACTGTATTTATCTTTGTATCTAATAGAAAAGTAAATGAACTTCTGACTATTTTCTTGTATCTTTCTAACAAATGAACGGATGTTTAAAAAAATTTCAATATTCGCAGCATACAATGGATTTCACTTAATATAGACAACAAACAACGCATGACCAAAATTCATACAAGATATCTTCGCTGTCCACAGCTTTTTTCCATATCAGTCTTTGAGTGTTCTCTTATAAGTAGTCGAAATTCTTTCTTTTTTTCTAAATCTTCAGCTATATTTCCGTCTTTTTCTTTTTTTGTACAGGTTCAGACCCAAGTTACGATGTGAAATTCGTTAAATTCTAGTCTGCGAAAAGCTGAAAGGCTTGTGAGCGACGTGAAATCAATTGGATCGGAAATATCCTGCACAGTTTTATGGATAGCGACGATGTTTTTCGCATAGCGAATTTGCCTTTCGTTGACGTACTCGTGTTCGTTGAGTGATTATTAAACCAGTAGACTTAAATTATCCATCACACCGTGAATATTCCTCAAGGTAATGCGGTTAAAATGCTCGGAACGTTGTCAAATGTTTGGCCTTACGTTTTTATCATACTATTAAACTTAAATCGTTTAAAAATATGATAACCGATACATGTTAAATTAAGAATCTAATGATTTAATTCTTATACTGAAATCTAGAATCTAATAGTAAAGTACACAAAGAAGAAGAAAGTCAGCTATTTTAATAGGTCGTTGACGTTTATAATATTTGACATTTTAAAGGAATTTTGCACGAACTTACTAAAAAATGGTCTTGAATAACGTTAAAGAACTAACCGAAGAAGAAAAATTCGATATTCAGCTACAAGCTGAGCAAGAACTGGGCCGACTAGCTAGAACTGTAAGTACAAAATTTGTTAATTATTTGAATATTTAGATCATCATAAATATCTAGATATACCAAATGAAGAAACTATATAAAAAGTCGATCGGACAATTTATGGAAAATGAAGACTCATTCAAAGAACTCGGCAAGTGACCAATATGTGCCAAAAAGAATAGCATAAATGGATATTAAAAATCTATTAATCTTAGCTGTACGAAAGATATTTCCACATTTTGTTTTAGCAATATTCCCTAAATAATCAGTATAATATGGGCGATGTTCAACCAAATTAAAAAAAACTATCTCTCTTAGTCTCTATCTATTGATATTGTCATCCAGACCTTTTACAGTGTCGTCGTGTACGATAAAGGGGTCGAACAGCCTTTGTATCCTCGTACATTCTGCTTGAGGTTGAAGAAAGGAGTACAGCCCCAGCAGGAGGGCTCCCAAAGTGTAGGCGACTTTAGAGAGCCCGTTAAGGACTTACTTGCTTGACCTGAAAATCTTCCACTTTTATACATGCCTTTGTAGCGATTTTAGCGATCACACCAGCATGTTTCGTGAGATCCTCGCTCAAATCATCTTAGGTTTTTTTTCTATACCCTTGTATCCTTAAGATCGCCAATATTTTATTTCCAGAAATATTCATTGAACAAATATTCCAGCATTTCAAAGCATTCTGTAAATATCTTTAATAATTATATATTTGTGCTTAACAAAAATATTTCATATCATTCTGTTGGTCAAAGTTATAGCTCAGATCAACAATGAAATGGTAATTTAAAGGTTTGACAATAAATTTAAAATTTAAACACTACGAAAATTAGTTTTGTACGAGGAATCACTACGGCCAGTATGTAAATCAATAACTGATCTTCATCATATTGATATCTTTGTTTTGTATATACTAATGTAAAGCTTTTAAGTTATACATACGTCAGACTACATATACCTAATTTTATAAAAAATACATCAAACAATTATGTTTTTAGTATACGATCCTAGAAAGAAACCGAGCCCAAAAATGTGATACAGGCGGTAAACTTCTCAAACAACGAAAAGTACTGAACATTTTCAAAAAGGAACAAAAAAATATTCTCACCGATCTTGCTGTAGCGTCTGCCGATGCTAGAAGAGTAGAGGACGAAAAGAAGTCCAAGGAATTGAAGGATTTACTAAGAGAGCACGACGATTTCGACGCTGAAATCACTCAACAAAAATCACATATTAGTGAGATCGATGGGCAGATCCGAATGACCAAGAAAAAGGTAAGAATTATTTACTATAGGGTGGGTAGATGTAGCTGTAATTCTTGTACTATACAACAAAATTGAATTGAGCCGAGAATATCAAATAGGCGTTGCAAGAAAGAAGCGATGTGAGATGAGTGGTACTGCGGAATATCGTCAAATGTCAGTGTTGGCGTTATTAGAAATATTAAAAAAAAACTGAATGTAAAATGTCTAACCTTAGACACTAATACGATAGAACAGTCACCTTAGGATGATGGTGTTACCATCCGAAGCTTGAGTTAGTGACTCGTGACACTCCATTACTAACCCTGATGTGACACTTGGTCTATTCAAGGTTAGTAGCACTTGTCTGCTATTTGTGCAGATCATTATAGTTTTCCCTGCTATACCTTTTTGGGTTATTCTCTTTTACGGCTATGGAAATACCGGCCACTTCTGTCTGAACTACGCTGGCATTTTTGCCCATACCTCACTTTATTCTTAGGTTCAGTGATCTGGAGTATATCCCGCATCCTAAGCCATCTTCCATTTTGGAGCCATCGATGTATATGCAATATTCATTTGCCACGTTTGTCTCCCTATACTGTCTTGTTTCAATTTTGTTAAAGACAAACTTTGGTTCAATTGAGTCGAAGCATGCCTATAGCAGTGGTAGCGCATTCAGCTCTCCCCGCCAGAAACGAGTTCTTAATTGTCTCATTCCTACATAAAGGTTTGCACCAGCTAAGCGGAGTCGCATCATTGTCACTAGCGCCACCTCTTTGACTATATCTAGAGGCGTGTTGGCAATAATCAATTCCATTGACGCAGTTGGTGTTTTTTTATGGCACCTGTTATATTTACGCAAGCCATCTGCTGAATATGGTTTAGTTTGTTAATCGGTGTTGGCTTTAGCACTTTTGGTACCCAAGCAATAGCTCCGATCCAGGCCTAATGACAGCAGTGTAGACCCAGGCCATCACTCTGGACGAAAGGTCCCAGGTGCATCTGATTGTTCGTCGACACTGCTCATAGGCAGTATTTGCTCTTTTAGCTCTACCATCTAAGTACTAAGATACTTCACCTCGTCAGAAAAATTTAGACTGTACTTTAGAATCCTTGGGGGTATTATGCCCGTGATTCTTCTTTTCCTTGTAAAGGGGACCATCTCTGTTTTCTTAGAGTTTATAGATAGGGACTATTCCTTGCAGCATGTTTCTATTAGTCGGAGAGCAACTTGTAATCGCTCACATAGTGTGTTCTCAAACTTACCGCTTTGCAGCAATATCGGCTGCATAGGCTATTATACAGTGGTGAGTGCGATATCACCAGGCTTTTTAACGTAAGAGATAGAAAACACAGTTACCTTGTGAAATAAAAGGAGATGAAACTCGTAGAGGTGGGAAATAATCGATAGAAACCTATAATTTACATTACATTACATTACGACTATCGATAGTCTCACACCTTTAGACGTTACCTTCGATCTAAATCACCTCGGTCATAATTATTATGTTTGACAGTTTGACGTCGTATGTGTGACGTATTTCCATTTTTTAATTTAGATAAAGTAAAAACTGATTGACCACAATAAAGCAAAAATGTGAATAAAATAATTTAATTAATAGTGATTATTTATTCTAAAGTTTTAAATTATTAACCAAGAATAATTTCTACTATGATTTGAGGAGTTTCATACACTCTTGTCACAGAATAATTAGCAATCCTTCGTGGATTAGTGGTAAGGATTCGACTCTGCGACGCAGATGATTAGAGTTCAAAACCTACATGAGGTTTTCTTTTTTCTTTTTTTAATAATTTGAAATTTTGCAGAGATCGTTTTGCTTTGAATCACTAAACATTTATGTCGGTCGTTACTAGTATTTGAAGTGTTTAAAGTTAAACATAAATATCTTATTGAAAAAATAGTGTCGTCGTACTTTCGAAACTAAAGTAAAATTCTTCAAAATTAAAAGAATGTTTAAATAAGTAAAAATTTTACAAAAATAAAAAAATATTGTAAATAAACGTATTTACAATATGTTCAAATAAACCTTCATTAGCAGCAGAATAATAACCCAAACTGTCACTAAAGAATTATAAAAGTCTGATAGATCAGGGCTGAAGGCACGATGTACTCATGCAGGCGGCTAGGGTTCAAATCCTACAAGAAGTTTTTACTTTTTTAAAAATTTGAAATTATGCAGATATATCGTTTTGCTTTAAATCATAAAACATGTATTTCAGTCTTTATTAGAAGTGTTTATAGTAAAGCATGAAAATCTTATTGAAAAATCAATGTACTTTCTAAAATAAAGTAAAAATTCTTCAAACATAAAAGAACGTTCTAAATAAATGTACTTACAAAAAATGTTTAAATAAGCAGAAATTCTATAAAAATATTCTAAATAAACGTATTTTATTCTAATGAAATGTATTTACAAAAAATGTTCAAATAAGCCTCCATTAGCAGCAGAACAATAACCCAATCTATTATAAAAGTTTCGTCTAACATTAGTTAATGTTTCTGAACTAATACCTCTCATTGAATCAAAGATCTTTTCTCTTAATTCTTGGAGAGAATTAGGCCTATCGTCTTCAATTCCATATAGTTTGGACTTGATATATCCCCACATAAAAAAATCACAAGGTGCAAGATCAGGTGATCTTGCAGGCCAAAAAATATCTCCGTGTCCACTAATCAATCGATTAGGAAAAGTCGCACTGAGATATTCACTGACGATGCGAGAATTAT